GTATCTTTCTTCATCTGTCTTTACCATGTTTTGTCCCTCTGACTCTTCCATTGGGTCTCCATGTCTTTCGCACCTTTCTTTTGCACCTTTTGCACCTTTCTTTGCAGTCTTTTTACTTCTTCCTTTACAAACAGAAGAAGAAGCAATTTCCCACCTTTTTCCTCCTGCTGAGCCCCCTCCTTCTCCTCCCACTGATGTCAATTATACTCCCAGCATTAATTTTCCTCTCTCCGTGTCTGTAGCCCACTTGCAGATTGTGGCTCTCTGTGCCTCTCTCCGCCTTCTTCCCAATTGTGTTTGTGTCTCTCCCTCCCTTCGAGGCCTCTCTATCTTTTCCCATCATTCTCTGTGCTGTTGTTTCTTTCTAGCTTTGCCTGTTTATTGGACATGACTGAGTGACTGAGCATGCACACACTGAGCAGGCACTGGGTAATTTTTAGTCTCTGCTGGTCTGTGATGATGCTGGAGGAGGGTATGGGCAGGGAGAGTTGGAGAAAGGGGAAGGGAGGAAAACATATCTTCAGAACTTGACAGAACCATGTATTATTGCAATGAATCTCCTGTTTAACTTCACACATGAGAAACAATTGCTCAGATGAGAAACTTGCTCAGAGTGACAGCAGTAAACAGCAAAAGTGAAAATTCAAAACTACTTTGAGTCTTTTGTCTCTTAGCTTGTGCTGCAAGAGAGTCGGTATTTGAGTAAAAGATAAATATAAAGATATAAAAAGATAAACAAAACAAATTTTCTGTGATTTCTATTACATCCTAACAAGAAACCAAAGCTGACATCTCTAGCCCCAGATCCAGCCAATTTGGAATCTGGAGGTTTATCCCTACAAGGACTTGGCAATCACATGATTCATTTCTGGTTTTTCATTGGTCACAGGTCATTATCACACCTGGAGTGTCAGGGTCAGAACCTGAGGTTCAGAGAGTTAAGACACACAGCAGGTCAGCCAAGGAAAGTAAAGGTAGAACCCAGTCCCCAGGCTCTACTTAGGGCAAAGACACAAACTCATCAAAGGTCAAGGTGTCCTTGGGGGGCAGAGTCCTGTCACCCACATCTCCTCTCCCTCACCCTGAAAGGACAAGCCGGAGGTGAAAACTGGGCAGTTTCTCACCAGCTGGGACCTGTTCAATTATCTCTCTCTTAGGACCTATTTCCTATTCAAAACACTTTTATCTTAAGCAGTAAATGTACTTGCATTGAGCTATATCAGCTGATTCCCAAGTGTAACTCAATGGAGGAGATGAGCTCAGACAAAAGGAGAAGCTCTCCCTTCCATCCTCTTCCAATCTTGTCTAGGTCCAGCATTTCTTTCTCCATCTCTGATCTTTCACTCTCATATCCACCCTTTTACCTAGCTAGTCTGAACAGAGAAGTTAAATCCCTATATATTCCATCTTCACAGTATCACTGGGGGCTTCCCTGGTGGCCCAGTGGTTAAGACTATGCCTTCCAATGCACCTCTCTCCCCACATGTCTCATTTTTCCCTAGGCAAAATTCTTACTGGTGAAGTGATGTACTGTCAAATTTTCTTGCTGAAAGATTACAGTCCTTTGTTTCCCATATGAATTTTCATATCAATAAACAAGAATGTCTCTTATACTGTAAACTGGATGCCAGGTATTATCATTTTAAATGAATTTTTTTGCCAATATATAGGTTCAAGGCTCTTTCATTGATATTTTAACAGGGAGTCTTTAAACTTTTCTGGGTTCATTATTCATGAATCTCTTCTTTTGTGAATTGATTATTCATATCTTAATTTTGGTTGTTAGTCTTTTCCTTATGAAGAAATTACCTTTATTTTCTAATCATTTTAATAACTTGTATGCCACATTGTTGTTGATGTTCAGTCACTAAGTCATGTCCAACTCTTTGAAATTCCATGAATGGCAGTATGCCAGGCTTCCCTGTCCTTCACTGTCTCCTGGAGTGTACTCAAATTCATGCCCATTGAGTCAGTGATGCCATCCAACCATCTCATCCTCTATTATCTTCTTCTCCTCTTACCCTCAATCTTTCCCAGCATTAGGGTCTTTCCAATGAATCGGCTCTTCACATCAGGTGGTCAAAGTATTGGAGCTTCAGCTTCAGCATCAGTCCTTCCAATGAAAATTCAGGGTTGTTTTCCTTTCAGATTGACTGGTTTGATCTCCCTGCTGTCCAAGAGACTCTCAAGAGTCTTCTGCAGCACCAAAATTCAAAAGCTTCAATTCTTTGGTGCTCAGCCTTCTTTATGGTCCAACTCTCACATCCATACATGACTACTGGAAAACCATACTTTGCCTATACAGACTTTTGTTGGCAGAGTGAGGTTTCTACTTTTTAATACGATATCTAGGTTTGTCATAGTTTTTCTTCCAGGAAGCAAGTGTCTTTCCATTTGGTGGCTGCAGTCACCATTTTCATTGATTTTGAAGCCCAAGAAAACAAAATCTGTCACTGCTTCCACTTTCCCCCCATCTATTTGCCATGAAATGATGGGATCGATGCCATGATCTTAGTTTTTTGTATGTTGAGTTTTAAGCCAGCTTTTTCATTCTCCTCTTTCACCCTCATTAAGAGGCTATTTAGTTCCTCTTCACTTTCTGCATTACAGTGGTGTCATCTGCATGTCTGAGGTTGTTGATATTTCTCCTGGCAATCTGGATTCCAGCTTGTGATTCATCCAGCCCAGCATTTAGCATGATGTACTCTGCAGAGAAGTTAAATAAGCAGAGTGACAATATACAGCCTTGATGTACTCCTTTCACAATTTGAAACTAGTCCATTATTCCATGCCTGGTTCTAACTGTTATTCTTGACCTACATACAGGTTAATAAGGAAGCAGGTAAGGTGGTCTTGTATTCCCATCTCTTTAAAATTTTCCACAGTTTGTTGTGATCCACAGAGTTAAAGGCTTTAGTGTTGTCAATGAAGCAGAAGTAGATGTTTTTATGGAATTCTCTTCCTTTTTCTTGTATCCCACATATACAACTATTACTCTTTTTTTAACTTAAAGAAAAAATTCTTTTTTATATTTATATCATCAAAAATATTTATTTTTTCTTTTTTACTTTTCTTCCTTTATTCTTATGCTTAAGTGAAAGAATGAAAATACTGAATAGTGGCATTTAAGTAGGGGATATGCAATGAGCATAATGCAATTGAGCATAATGTGGAGACAGGGAAATTCAGAAAGAAACAACTTTCTCTTTACCGTTAAGTAGGTCAGTTTTCAAACTGTGACCACAGCATGTGAAGAATCTGGGAACTTATTAGAAATGCAAATTCTCATGCTCCAACCGCATCTTCCAATTCACATCTCCTTATGACACACAGCAGCAGCATCTGGCATGCCTTCCAGGTAATTCTAAAGCACAGTGAAGTTTGAAAGCACTGATTTGGGAGCATTGGATTCGTGGCTCATAGCCCAGGTGACAGGAGTAAGGAGAGTCCTAGAACAGGGAGACCAGGGGAGATGGGAGGAGGTTCCAAGAAGTAGACAAGTCTCCAGTCACCTGCCAGCTGACTGGGAGCTAGAGAGGAAGACGTGCTGCACAGATAACTTAGGAACTATACAGCATTAAATGTTCATTAAAAAAAGAGCTTTCTGTTCTGTGCTACATTCTACGTCTTTCCTTTTACACATACCTTTAGGACAAGTCTTACATATATCATCCCTGTGTTAGTGAGGTTTGGGGACATCAAGAAGACAGACATAGGGATGATCCACTGAAGAGTTCAGTACCCACACAAGCAAGGCAGCAAGGTGGATCAAAGATTCAATGAGACCAAGGATTTTAGAGCAAAATGACCTGGGATACACAAGGAACACTCACAACTACTGAGTAAATAGACAGCAAGTCAGATGAGGAGCTGTGTTGCTTTCTTTGGTTATTAGAGGAAGAGGGTCAACACCAAGAGGCTGAAGGACTTAACCAGTTGATGCTTAAAGGCATCTCTCCCACAATAAAATAAATATTCACCCATATATTTTTCCAAGATTGTCTTACTATATTATTTCTTGCATTTCACTCTTTAACATACTTAGAATTTATCTTGGTAGATGCATGAAATCATTTTCCCACCCATATCATTTATAACTCTTCCTTGCCACCCTGATTTGCAACAAAGAGTAAGCATTTGGCAAAAATCATGTTGAATCAATGACATAATTAACGAACAATGGTAAAGTTTCATTCACCAGAAAAAGTCTAACATTAATGATAATCCTAACAGTGATGAAAAGCTTAACCCAAATTATGAGTGTAATAGTTCTAATCCTGATCTTTAAACCAAGGTTTAGCAACCTCTGTTGTCCCAAGAGAAATCATAAACTGGAATGAATAAGTCTGAGAAAAGCAAAGCTGTCTCTGGAAAGGGAGAGACAGAATTGAACACAGCACATAGCATTTCCTTGACTTGGCCTTCACCATTTCATCACCATGACCGTAACTTAATCCAGAACCAATCCTGACACCAATCAAACTACTACAGGGACCTCTCCAGTAGTACCCCATCTGCTAGCCCAAACTTCCTGTTAAGAAACATAAATGAAAAAATGATGTGAAAGATCCTTGGTACCAAAACCCAATAAACTACATATCCCTCAAAATCTTTAAACAGGCAGATCACAATGCAGGAGCTCAACCAGTCTGCTGTGACAGAATTCATCCTGTTGGGCTTTGCCTCGAACCCCAGGACCAATCCTCTGCTCTTTACCTTCTTTCTGGTCTTTTATCTGCTGATTCTTGTGAGCAACAGCCTCCTCATCACCCTCATCCACCAGGACACACGCCTCCACACACCCATGTACTTCTTCACCAGTGTCCTCCCCCTGCTGGACATGGGCCACACCACCACGACTGTGCCCCAGATGCTCGTGCACATTCTCAGCAAGAGGAGCTGAGATCTAGCTCTTTTGCTAGATGTGTGGCCCAGATGTACATCTTCCTCCTCTTTGGGATCACCGAGTACCAGCTTTTCACCATCATGTTCATGGACAGGTACGTGGCCATCTGCCACCCTCTCCGGTATAAGGTCATCATGAGCCGCTGGATGTGCCTTCTCATGGTGGGCATCTGTGCAGCCGATGGTGTGGTGGGTGGTCTGTCCTATACCTTCGTTGCTATGCACCTTCCCTACTGTGGTCCTAATGAAATTGACCACTACTTCTGTGAGGCTCCTGCAGTCCTGAAGCTGGCCTGTGCAGACACATCCCTCAATGACTTGGTGGACTTCATCACAGGCTTCAATGTCATTGTGGTCCCACTTTCCTTGACTGTCCTTGTCTATGTCAACATCTTTGCCACCATCATGAAGATCCGCTCAGCTCAAGGACGGATCAAGGCCTTCTCCACATGTACCTCCCACATCACTGTGGTTACCATGTTTGCTATTCCATGTATCATCACATACATGAGCCCTGGCTCTGACTCCTTGTCAAACAATGGCAAGAAAATGGCCCTTTTCTATAACATTGCCACAGCCTTCCTCAACCCTGTCATCTACAGTCTGAGGAATAAGGACGTGAAAAATGCTTTCCTCAAATTGATGGGAAGGGGCAGGGCCCCAGAGTGACACTTTAAAGATTAAGATCTGGGAAATCTTACATGAGGGCGCATACTCACCAACTCCCTGAAGACTCTTCCATGAGAGCTGGAAGAGATGGTCTCCATAAAGCTAACCACTCAACTCTTGAGTGGGAGAGAACAGGGTGCTTGGCAATCAGCATTATCTATGGTGCTGTGGTTTTAGACAAAGACAATCCAGAAGATCTAACACAGTGGGCAAGAACCTGGACTCTAGGGCCAGGCAGACCAGAATGACACCCTTGGCTTTATCAATAATGAGATATGTCGATTTTTTTCTATTAAAATAATTAATCATGTGTTTTTATTTATTAATTTTTTGGCATGCGAATTCTTACAGCTCACTTAACTCCTCTAAAGTTTGTATCTCTCCCTCAGAGGGAAGTTGTAATGATTAAATGAGATAATACACAAAATGTTCTTCATACAGAGCCTGACATACAGTAATTTTTTAGGAAATGTTAGTTTCAATTTTCAATGTCTTTTACTCGTGGATGAATTATCAACCCTTAAATGGTCATGATCTTCCTGGTTAGCGGCAGTGACTGAATCCCTAGAGAGACAGTGGGGGGAAAAAAAAGGGTGATGGAGTTGGAGAGTGGAAGAAGGAGGAACTCAGAAACTGTGAAGTGGAGATTTTTAAGGTGGGAAAAGAACTTGAGAAGAATGAAGTGAGCCTATATGTACCCATCTATAAGCTGTGCCAGTTAGAGCATCTGGGATCAATTGAAGTTATTAGTATCTTAGAAAGGGGCAAAATTTTCCTTTATGACCATTTTTTTCCATTCTCATATTTTTCTCTTCATTTCTCCTTTTTTTTTTAAATGACATCCATTTTTTAAAACAATAGCCTCTCTGGATAATATCAAGAAGAGACTCTGTGCACTTAAGGATGAGAGAAATTAGAAGATGAATATAATGTGACCTCTAGATGCAAAATTTAGGAAGTTCAGAAAGAGGTTAAAAATTCAGTGGAGTTTTTTTGCTCTGTTCTCTCTTGCTTGAAGGGACTTTCCCCAAAATGTTTATTTCTCATAGAATCTTTACAAATATGAATTTTTTTCCCCATGTTTCATCAATCTGCAGGGTCATGGTACAGGGCATCACCTATATTTACTGACTGCTGGCTGCCATGGGAACTTCAGAACCCAACAAAACAATTCCCCTGATGTTCTAGAGACATGTCCCATAAGCTAGCATGCACCCCTTTTGGGTTTTTCCCAGCCTCTTGCTGATGTACACTGCCTATGAAACTCCTTACAAAAAAACCATCTGGGCTTGCCAAAAAATATAACATGAGCGTCTATTCCCTTTGTAAGAGGCCAGGCTCCATGTCAAAGGTGCAGGTTCATAATTCCCCAAAGCTATTTCCCAACCTCACCATCCAGGAGCCAGAGCATTGCACAATGAAGCAAAATTAAAGGCAAATAGCAACACAAAGCATATAACTGCAACATACTTATAGACACGTGAATAAAATCATTAACACAGAAGAAGCTCTTACAAATTGGTAAGAAAAATATACACACTTAGGAAAACTGGCAACAGATATGACACTTTATAAAAAATAAATCCAAAAAGTTAACAAACATATGGGAAAATCATACCATAACAGGCACCAAGAAATGCGATTTAAAATATCAATGAGATACCACTTTTTTGCCTTTAGAATCTGGCAGAGTTTACAGAATAGAGGAGAGGTGGCCTCAATAATAAATTGAGAACACAATAAAACATGGATTTTCACACATTGCCAGTTGGAGTACAGATTGATCTAAAAAGCACATTCGTATTTCACATAACCAAGTAATAGTAATTAGTCTAGGCTCTGGTTGTATAGTAGCAAAGACCTTCGCAAGGCCCAGTCTATGGCCAGAGCATTGCAGAAGATGTTTAATTTTATGTAGTCAGCTGTGTTCATACTCTAGGTTTTAGCTCCATTAGAACATGTGATCAAACAGAAAGTCAAAACTGAAAGCAGAAAAACCAGCAAAGAAAATTTCAACTCAACCCCAGATATACTCAGCTCAGCAGCAGGCTACAGATAAGGATGTAGAAGTGGTTATTCATTCTGAACCTGGTCAAGAGGGCAGCAGAGGTGAGGCCGATGGAGCCCAGGAAACCTACCTGGATGACCTCTGACATTGTTTCCAGCTCTGAAGGTCATGATTACTAGAGACTTGCAGAGCAGGAACACCAGGTACATCACCCCTTCCTCCATTACTTTCCTCTTACAGGGAGTCCTTATCTGTTCCCAGAGTGATGCCTGTCAGAACTGGTTGCAGTTACAGATTCCTCTGTGTCTCTAATGGGATACATTATGCTCTCCTGGCTGCTAGAAGGTGATGGGAGTGTTGATCACAGAAGTGCTAGGTCTGCTTCTGATGAACACAATGGATGCTGTCCCCACATTAAAGTGTGAAATAGTCAGAAGAACTATACAAAAAACTATACAAACCACGATTGTGTGATCACTCACTTAGAGCCAGACATCCTGGAATGTGAAGTCAAATGGGCCTTAGGAAGCATCACTGTGAACAAAGCTACTGGAGGTGATGGAATTCCAGTTGAGCTATTTCAAATCCTAAAAGATGATGCTGTGAAAGTGTTGCATTCAATATGCCAGCAAATTTGGAAAGCTCAGCAGTGGCCACAGGACTGGAAAAGCTCAATTTTCGTGCCAATCCCAAAGAAGCGCAATGCCAAAGAGTGTTCAAACTATGCCACAATTGCACTCGTCTCACAGGCTTGCAAAGTAATGCTTAAAATTCTCCAAGCCAGTCTTCAACAGTACATGAACCATGAACTTCCAGACGCTCAAGCTGGTTTTAGAAAAGGCAGAGGAACCAGAGATCAAATTGCCGACATCTGTTGGATCATCAAAAAAGCAAGAGTTCCAGAAAAACATCTACTTCTACCTTATTGACTATGCCAAAGTCTTTGACTGTGTGGATCACAATAAACTGTGGAAAATTCTTCAAGAGATGGGAATACCACACCATCTTACCTGCCTCCTGAGAAAGCTGTATGCAGGTCAAGAAGCAACAGTTAGAACTAGACATGGAACAATGAACTGGTTCCAAATTGGGAAAGGAGTATGTCAAGGCTATATATTGTCACCCTGCTTATTTAACTTCTATGCAGAACACATCATGAGAAATGCCGGGCTGGAGTAAGCACAAGCTGGAATCAAGACTGCCTGGAGAAATGTCAATAACCTCAGATACACAGATGACACTACCCTTATGGCAGAAAGCGAAGAACTAAAGAGCCTCTTGATGAATGTCAAAGAGGAGAGTGAAAAAGGTGGCTTAAAACTCAACATTCAAAAAACTAACATCAAGGCATCTGGGCCCATCACTTCATGGCAAATAGATGAGGAAACAATGGAAACAGCGAGAGACTTTATTTTCCTGGGCTCCAGAATCACTGCAGATGGTGACTGCAGTCATGAAATTAAAAGATGCTTGCTCCTTGGAAGAAAAACTATAACCAACCTAGACAGCATATTAAAAAGCAAGGACATTACTTGCTGACAAAGTTCTGTCTAGTCAAAGCTGTGGTTTTTCCAGTAGTCATGTATGGATGTGAGAGTTGGAGAAAGTATGAAGAAAGCTGAGCACCGAAGAATTGATGCTTTTGAACTGTGGTGTTGGAGAAGACTCTTGAGAGTCCCTTGGCCTGCAAGGAGATCAAACCAGTCCATCCTAAAGGAAATCAGTCCTGAATATTCATTGAAAGGACTGATGCTGAAGCTGAAACTCCAATATTTTGTCTACCTTATGTGAAAAACTGGCTCATTGGAAAAGACCCTGATGCTGGGAAAGGTTGAAGGCAGGAGAAGGGGACAACAGAGGATGAGATTGTTGGATGGCATCACCAACGTGATGAACATGCATTTGAGTAAGCTCCGGGAGTTGGTGATGGACAAGGAAGCCTGGCATGCTGCCGTCCATTGGGTTGCACAGAGTCAGACACGACTGAGCGACTGAACTGTACTGAGCCCTGAGTAAGCGATATCTCCTGGCCAACCTCCAGTGCCCTGCAGGGCCAGTCCCCAGTATAGTTCTTCTATTTCACAGTTCAAGAATCTTTGCAAGTTCAGAGGTACTACCATTTTGGTTAAATCCAGCTGTTTCAAGTTTTCCACCAGGAAGAGGAGGTGCCTGCTATAAGTCCATGCCTGGCAGGCTAGCTCTGCACAAACTTGTTCTATGTAGCAACTGGAGTTCATTCAAGAAACATAGGCACTGCCTGTGCTATGGATTAAGAATTTATTTTAGGGATTAAACCTTACACAACTGTGGGAAGACTGAGGAGGGGGCATTGGAGGATCAGAATAAAATCGCTAATACTTAATCATGATCCACTGGTAAAGGCAGACAAGCCAGAGCTTACAGGAAGGTGTGAGATGCCCCAGATCCAACCCATTAACACACTATAACAGGGGAACGCTCTTTTTTAATTGGAATATAATTGCTTCACAGTGTTGTATTAGTTTCTCTGGAAAACACAGTGAATCAGCTATATGTACACATATACCCCTTCCTTCTTGAGCCTCCTTGCCACCACCCCATTCTACCACCATAGGCCGTCACAGCACAGAGCTGAGCTCCCTGTGCTATATAGCAGCTTCCCACTAGCAAGCTGTTTTACACATAGTGGTGCACATGTGTCAATGCCACTCTTTCAATTCATCCTCCACTCTCCTTCCCCACTGATGTCCATAAATTCATTCTCTATGCCTGCACCTCTATTTCTTTCATGCAAATAGGTTCATCAGTACCAGTTTTCTAAATTCCATATATATGCATTAATATGTGATATTTGTTTTTCTCTTTCTGAATTACTTCACTCTGTATGACAGGATCTAGGTTCATCCACATCACTTCAGCTGACTCAATTTTATTGACAGGGGATCTCTCTCTCTCTCCTTTTAATGTTTTTTAATTGGAAGATAATTGCTTTACAATGTTGTGTTGGCTTCTG